GTCAAGGAAGAGCCTGTTGAAGGTAGTGAGGATGCTGATGATGTCGATGAGACGACAAAGGAAGCTCTGAAGGTGGGGGTGGCGCAGGTTCGATCCCTGGAGGGGACATTTTTACAGGTCCTCGAAGAGAGAATGTGGAGACATGACGGGCAAGCAGGCGTTGATAATGGAGAAGAGAAACGCGCTAATGAATTTGAGGATTACTTCAATGAACTTTTCCAATAATTTAATAGGAGGTTTTGAGTTGATGAAAGTAGTTGATATTCACCATGGGGAGAAAAGGAAACTGAAAAGGAAGAACATTCATTTGCGGTGTATTGGGATTTTTTTAATGAGCAACAAAGCGGATGGTAACAAGAGTTATCGGGTTTTTCGCACCAGCATGAACTGGGACTTAGTCTAGGAATCAAAGTGAGCCTTTGTGTATGCGTGCACCACATAATCGATATCAGGAAAGACTTCAAAATGAAGTAGCTTCCGGGAGCGTGTGATTATACTTGGACTAGCGAGCTTGGATATTCTTTTGCAATCTCGACATAACAACACAAGAGAGAATATTGTACAGGAATATGCAATATACGAATAAGTGGTATAAAATGCATTTAAGCTTCAATGAAGGAATTGTCAACTTCGACAAAATAGCGATAGAAACCTTGACAGATTCTTAGCATCGAATCTATATCTTCAACCGAACATGTTTCCCTGAAAAATTACATAATAATAAATGCATTACGCGTTCTCATGAGTCGACATAAATAGGAAACAGTGGAGTTTCACCCTAGTGATATGAAAAACATATTTCATGACCATTGCATAGCGCGAATATCGCGTTTTTCACCGAGTTTTACGCCACTTCACGTAAAACAGGTGAAACTCCACTGTTGAAGAGAATTAGAGTGAGCTACCGATCTACCTTAGGTCGACCTTGCCATTTTCCTGAGTTCCGCAATAACGTAACGACGTACTCGGGGGAAATTTCCAACAGCTTGAAGACAACAACTGTATTCATTTTAGCGTTGAAAATTTCCCAGAATTTTCCTATAAATTTCCCCTTTTGTATTAATAATATATAGCGAATGCTCATGCACAAGAAAATATGAAAATTTACATGATACTTTTCTGTCAATACCAACCATCATACAAATTTCAAAATACTGACAAATATCTTCATCACACAGACACGTAGTAGATACATTCCCACTACCTTATCGAATGCATTGCCCATTGAGTGATGCCCAAGTCTACTGTACGAATACCCAGATTGGCAGAGAGCATAGGACCAATCGTGGATCCGCTACTGGTGCCGTTCTTTACAGTAAACTCTTGTAAGGCCACCTGCATTACAGAAAATTAACACTTTTCATCCTCTAGAATTTCTCTCATATACTAGAGCACTTGGCTATAGCCATACATATA